ATAATGATGTTCAATGTCTTCAAAGCACTAAACCTAAAAACACAACTTATTTCCCCTGGAATGTGTGAAGAGCAGAGGTTAAGGAGATATAAAATTAGGAATCTATTTTTAAGGATAGAATAAACTCCAGCAGTAAATCTGAAGCAGTTGATAGTCAGATACGAGAGACATTCAAAATTGTGCATATGGTTTGTTGAAAGGCCCTCCTCCATGTATTGTTTGGGTGCATCTACGTTCATGTTGGGGAAGCTTTAATATCTAAAGCTGTAGCACTGCTCTCTGGGTCCACTTTTCAAGTGTAGTAGCAGTAGTGATTTGACTACTTTGTAGTGTAATGCTTCCTTAGATGGACCAAAAAGCTCAGGGTTATTGAGTCTGCTTTCACTTCTCTGTCTGTAGCCAGAATTACAAAGAACCTTGTTACTAATATAAGAATATATGAGAAGGTACTCTAAATCAAGAGTCCATGTGGCATGTCTGTCTCTGTCCGTCCATCTGTCTTGCTTACAGTTGGAATAACAATGTTGGGAAGCAGTAAGCAATCACATTGGAGAAATAAGAATGTACCAGAGAAACAGTAATTATCCTAAGTCTGTACCACCACCTGGTCCCTCTCTGCTGCCTTTCCAGTAAAAAAACTGCTTAATAGGACAGACTTAAAGAATAAGGAAAGCAGCAGCTCTGTAAGTCCTGCTTCTATTTGTCGTACACCAGAGACAGAAATATATAACAATAGGCCTGTGAAACTGAAGTAACATCACCCAAAAGAAATGACTCTAAGACTAAGGGCTTAATAGGAAAAGGTACCAACTGGAGATTACATTTGGAGGAGCCCATGCATGTTGCTGGTTATTTTAGCTGCCGGCTATTAAATATCAAGGATTAACAACTTCCAAACTGAGCATAGGGGTGTTGGTTGTAGCTGTGTTGGTCTAAGGACATAGGCAGACAAGGTTCTTTAGGTAAATGGGATATCTTTTATTAGACCAACTAAACAGTTGGAAAAAAATGTTCTTTGCAACCTTTCGGGGACTAATGCCCTTTTTCAGGTATAGGGAAAGTCAGTTGTTGTTATTTACAAAACAATGGCAGGCTCTCCCTATGCCTGAAGAAGGGTGTTTGGGCCCAAAAGCTTGCAAAGAACAATTTTTCCAACTATTTAGCTGGTTTAATAAAAGATATAACATTTATCCAAAGCACCTTGTCTGCAAACTGAGCCTAGAACACTTGTGGCCAAGCTTCTTGGCTGTCAGGCCCAAGTTAACCCCCAGAGATGTTCCTGATAGTTCTTTCCTTTTTTGCTTTTTATGGAGCTGGTGTTATAGGAAGTAACACTGCAGCAACTTCTGCAACCCCTTCTGAGTTCAGTCAGGCCGTTGTTTTTGCAAATATACTAGGGGAAGCTAGAGCTAAGTGGTTACTTGTATTTGTTACCAAGTTTAAGATTTAGCTCTGTTCTGCAAACTTGTGAGGCAAGAAATGCATGTCTTGTGACCTGTTCAAATAATTTCCTTTGGCCTCATTCTAGTAATAAATCACAAAATTAAGTGTTTGAACATCAACAACTTGAAAGAATATTAAAAAGAAAAATGCATCACAAGCTCATCATAACATTCATATGGGACTTCAATAATGCATATAAATTTTAATTTTAATCAGTAGGCCAAGTGCCATTTGGCTAATTAAATGATTTGTAATAGCACTAAATTCTGAAACACGAACTATAGAAGTTAGCAATCACCCTAAAACAGGGGTTTTCAACCTTTCTTGGTCTGTGTCCCCCGGCAGCCAGTCGAAGCAGGGTGTCCCCCAGCAGCTGGTTGACGGCAGCCAAATTGGTGGGGGCTGTCCCCTGGCAGCCAGTCGATGAGCGGAGGGTCCCCCGCATGCCTGTGATGGCAAAACTGGAAGTGCTGGCAGTCGAAGTGCCAGCAGCGCTCAGCACCAACAAAAACAAAGGCACTGGTAGCGCATGGTGGCACAAAGTGCTGGCAGCCCCGACCCCTGCACCACTTCCCTTTACCCCCTGGGGCCTTCCGAAGTACCCCCAGAGGAACGTGTACCCTTGGTTGACAACCCCTGTCTTAAAGTTTAATATCGGTCTGGATTATTTAGTCACTTGGCCAGTTTTTGGAAAATCTAACCAACTATGAAATTATTCTGGTTGAGCCCACCAAGAGTGCCAGCAGTCTTGCAGGACAGAGGAAAGAGAATTAAACTTTATTCTTTAACATATTCTTGGTTACTTAAAAACACATCGAGTGAGTGGAAAATGGACATTAAATTTGATACTGAAGTTCAAGTTTGTATTATGCCTTGATTTTTAGAGAAATGTTTAAAGAGAATGTTGAGTTGTAATTGCAGGCTGGTGAAATGGGAGCAGTAGATAAATGGAGTAAAAAGGATAATGAATGGGTGGCAATCTTACAGCTTTTCTAGGGAAAAGTTACCCATGTTTTCTCATATACAATACAGCCCAGAATATAATATACATCTTGTATTTTTGAAAGGCAGAATGAAGAAGAAAATATTTTTCCTGAGTTATGGCTGCTTAGAGCAGGGACAGCATCTTCAGCGGTCTCGCCCTCCCTTTCCTCCTTAGTTGAAAGCTGAAATTCTAGCTGTATTGAGATATAGTCCTCCTTGGTTGGATCTAGGATTTTGAAACAAGCTAAAGAGTCTCCAGGTCTGTGAAAGAGGAGGAGGGAGACCAGGATCAGCTAGCAGACAAAATAGCTCTAAGAAAGGTTAGCTTTATTAGTGTAACATAAAGACCACTAAAAAGGAAAGATGTTATATAACACTTTTGGAGTCAAGGACAATGATCCATTAAAGCAGCCCTTATTTTGGGTTTCTGATTTTGCAGGAAATGTTGTATGTTTATATTCGAGAGAATACAGTAATTTCGAAGAGTCTAATGTTCAGTTGAAATCTAATCTGCAGATACTCAGTGTTCAAGTTAACTATTCTTCATCCACAGTAAATCAGACTCTTCAACATTTCCTACATAAATACTTTACTTGGTACCCATAAGATTTTTAGGCCCATTTTCTAAACTCAGAGTGCATTTGATTTACTTTTTATAATAGAAGTAAAAGCCTCCTGTAGACATGTGCTCAATTTTGAAGTAATTATGAATATGTATATAAACAAGGAAAATAGAAATTAGTATTAAAAATCACTTTTGTTCAGGGAAAGTGCGCTTAATTTCCTCATAAACATGAGACAGACTGTATTAAAGAAGCTTATGACATTTACATCTTCTCTAGTTCTGTAGAAAGGTGACTTGACTTATGGGTTAAAACTGCAAAATGTTAGATTCTTTACTCTGAGCAAGTCAGGATAGAGGGAGCTGTTTCAGACCCATCTTTAATGAAAAGTGGAAAAGTGTACTACTTACCCTGGAATTTTTGAAACCACAGATCTAAAAAAGAAACAACTCTCCGGAGTTAGCAGGCCTTCTCCCTGGAGGTGGTTCTCTCTCTTGCTAGATTGTAAAATCTTTGCTTCTCTTACTATGGAGAATGACAGAAGTCATTTTTGCCTGTAGAGAAGAATGCTGCGATTGTTCCCTGTGTGTTAACAGAATAATTTTCTTTGGATGAAATCAGATGAGGCTGTGCAAATGCATTAAAGGTGGAGGAGGTAGCTCAAGTTTTGCTCAAGGGACAACTTAGTCTGCAGTATCAACTCTGTTTCATACATTTTATTGTATTTACTGATATACCTCCCCCCAAAAATTAGCCCCCTAAAACTGGGGCATGTGTCTTAAGTGGAGAAGCTGACTTCTGCACAGGAATGGAAGCATGGAGACACTGGAATGGCTACCAGGGACTGTGCTGCTCTCTCGGCCAGCATGCAGCAGGGGCAGAGTCCACTCTTTAGCATCTGAGCTGGAGTTTGAACCCTCTTACAGCCTCTGCTAAATTGATGGTAGCTTTTGACCGAGCAACCGAAAGACCGAAAACTCTAGCTTTTGCCTGAGCAGTTAGGGGACAGGGAAGTGAGCTGAAGACTAGACTTTGTCCCTGCTCCATGAAATTAGCTTTTGGCCATGACTCTAGAAGAATTTTTTTTCATTGTGCCTTCCTAGGACAACTTGTATGTCTTTAGTTGGGGGCATGTGGTATGTGAGGAAATGCAATGATTGATTTAACTTCATGATTTTAAATAATCCTATTTTGCATTTTCATAAGTAGCAATTTAGAAATATTTATAAACGGAGTATGTAGATGAAGAAAAACATGAACACATCTGTCTTGGTGATTTATCACTTTATCCAAATACCTAACACTTTAATGTCCTGTGAATGATTTGGTAAATTATGATCCTGTTTCTAAATTCATCCTAATACTGCTCTTGATCTACAGTAATGTATTTCTGAAACTTCTTTTAGATGCTAGAATAGAAGAATTTGTCTATGAAAAGTTGGACCGCAAAGCACCAAGTCGTATGAATAATCCAGAATTACTGGGCCAGTATATGATAGATGCTGGGAATGAATTTGGCCCAGGGACAGCATATGGTAAGTGAGAGCCAAGAAGATGGCTTTTGTTTCAAAAACAAATGCACAATCTTTTGCAATAAAATAACCAATGTAGAGTGAGAGACGTTTTCTTTTCCTTCTAATAAACATGTGCAAAAGTTGTCAATCTTTTAACAGTTTGACATTTTTCAAATATATCTGAATTCTTAACCCAGACTGCGGGTAAATTCCATTACAGCAGCTGTTGGAGCCACAGTTCCACCTTTTTGTGGATGTATCACTTTTTGCTGTCTGAGCTGTTAGCTCTAGAAATTGGTTTCTCTATGAATCTTTAGCTGGAAGGGTAAAGTGTAGTTTCTTTCTAATGTGCGGTTATTTAATAAAAATATTTATTTTACAGCCTTTCACATGTTATGCAAAGTAGGAGTTGTTATAAAAAAAAGACAACCTTGATTAAAATCTCACTGGAATTTCACAGTAACTTTCCTATAATCAAATTGAGCCTTTCTGCAAAAGGTTAGATCTCTAATGTGTTTCTTTTATAATGAATAACTTTCTCCCACTCTGCAAGTGCTTACCTGTGCAGCATTGCTACATTTGTTATTAAAGTTGGATGTCTGAAAATATTCAAAGTGCAGGTTTTGCGTTACCTGCAGCTCTAAAACAGCTCTTTATACTGGCGTAATGGTTACATTTAACCAACCAAAAATGCATAAATATATGGTTGCCAAGATGCACAAATTACAGAGCCTGGTAGTTGTCATTTCATAACACAAGGTGATGAAGCAAGTACATGGCAGGGGGAGGGGAAACCTGTTTTGTGAGGAATTAATTCTTTGTCTCAAAGTAATAATTTCCTCAAAAAGGGAAGAACAACACCTGTTGTTAGAAGCCTCCAAGATACAAGTTTCTTGGCAAAAAATAAGACAACCATTACTGATTTTTTTTTACATTAGGGAAGTGACAAACCAGCTGCAAATGCCTGATCATCTTTTCCCATATTAATAAGGTCCAAAGTTTGCTGGTCTTCATCCTTTTTAAAAAGAAGTCATTCAAACCAATGTATCTAATTCTTTACAGGCAGATGTTGCCCTCTTTACAGCTTGCTGTAATGCTCTTAAGTCAGGGCAAAGTATAAATGGCATATTACTATAACGTTCTGTTATCTGCTCTTAAGCAAGTGCTACTGTATGAGTGGTGAATATGCTGAAAAGTTAATGAAGGTGGGAAACAGGTGTTAAGCAGCACTCGTATGGGAAAGTTTCATGTACCATAAGAGTATATAAAACAAATTGGGAATGGTAAGAAGGGAAGAGGCACAAAGACTTTATTACACTATATTTTAACAAAAATCTAATTTAATTATGTTGTTGGTCTAAATTAAGCTTCTGTAACAGTTGTTGTCAGGCTTAATAATAATCTTCAATTAAAGTGCAATTCTAAATTGTCTTCTAAACTAGATTGCATTTAGAATTTAAAAGCTTTCCAACAGTTGACTTGGCCAGTAAGTAAAAACTTGAAGTGCCTGAGCACTCCATCAAACTTTGCAGGGGACTGCTTCTGGATTAAACTATAACACTGAGAAGTGAATAAAACAGATACTTAAAATAGGACTGCCATAGATAGCTAGGTACTATCACCACAATGTTGCTAACTATTCACATTTAAGATCTAACAACGAATATGGTTTTTATGGTTCATCATCACTAACTCTGCCAAAGCAACAAATGAAAGCCATCATGGATGCCTACCCCACTCAAAACACTTACAGCTGACTGACTACTGTATACCCAGGACCACTGCAACATCTATATAACCAGAAATATGACCAGCACAACTGCTGGATGGATCATTGTTTGATACGTTTTGTCATGTCTATTCGTATTACCCCAAAATGACATAAAAGAAGCAACCAAGTAAGAGGCTCAAATATCAAACACCGGTTCTTGAAAGAGGCTACTAATGGTGATAATCTCCAACAGTGCCTCAGTGAAAAACTCCCTGACCTCCCTCATGATCTTGACAGTAATGATCAGTGGAATAGCCTCAAGAAAGACGTCTGTGAGGCATCTGAAGAATCTCCAGGCTTATCCACAAAGAAACATCAAGAGTGGTTTGATGAGAATGATAGGAAAATTCAAATCATCATTGACAGAAAAAGGAGAGCCTTCAAAGCTTTTTAGAATGACATCAATTTCAAACAGAAGCAAGATATTTATTGACGCATTTAAAATTGAGACCCAGAAGAAAATTCAAGAGCACAAAAAAAAAGTGGAAGGACAAAACAAAAAATATTTTTCAAATTTGCTGACAGCAATAACCTAGGTAGTTTCTTCAGCACAACTAAAGCCATCTATGTGCCAAGCACACAAGGAGCCATCCCTCTGAGGTCCAAGGATGGAAGAATACACCTGAAAGACAGCTTCACCATCAACACACAGTGGAAGGATTACTTTCAAGAGCTCCTCAAGAGAGGTTCTTATGTTGAATACAATCCCATCAAAGCCATTCCATAACATTAAGGACAACCTTGCAGATTCATCAATCTTTCAAGAGGCCTTGAAAGCTATTAAACAGATAAAGAACGACAAAGCATGGGGTCCTGATGAAATTTGTCTGTTTTGGAAAAAAACTCTCTCTCGCCAACTGTACACCATTATTCTGAAAAACTGGAACATAAAAGAGATTCCCAGTGACTTGAGATGCCAGAATCACTACCATATTCGAAAGAGGAGATACTTGCTGCAATCCAGTCTTATTGGTATTGCATTCCTGTCCGTAGCTGGGAGGATCCTTACCGGTATTCTCCTCAATAGACTCACTGCTTGCAGAGGAGATTTTACTGAAGTCCCAGTGTGGTTTCAGACCACTCGGAGGTACAATAGGTCTTTGTTCCTAGATAGCTTCAGAAGAAGTGTTGGAAGAACCACTGAGATCTTTACATGGCCTTCATTGGCCTGACTGAGGCCTCTGATTTAATCAACAGAGAGGTTCGTGAAATATCCTGATGAAATTTGTATGCCCGCCAAGATTTGTTAATATCACTCAACTTCTTCATGACAACATGACAGCAACTGTCCTAAGCAATGGCTCAGAAACAGACCTCTTCACTAGTAGAACAAAAACCTCTCTTCTCCATCTGTATTGCAGCTATTTCAGGTCTCGCTGCTGATGGACTTCCATCTGGAGTCAACATCCAGTATCACATAGATGGGGATGTCTTTAACATTGATGGGTTACGTTCCAAATCCAAGATAACCAACACCTCCATTACTGATCTTCAGTATGCTGATGATTGTGCAGTGTGTGCCTACTCAACTGAAGAGCTCCAGGTCACTCTTGATTGCTTCTGTGAAGCATAAGAAATGTTGGGCTCACTGTCAGTGTCATGAAAGCCAAGAGATTTTTACCAACCCACCCTGAACCAGCCAGCTGCTCCTCATATTACAACTGTAGGGCAATCCTTCAGGAACTTTGACCATTTCCATTACCTGGGCAGACACTTTAGCTAAAATGTAAATGTAGACAATGTTCAACATTGGATGCCTTTAGAAGTCTCCAGAATCCTGTCTTGGATGATAATGACATCAGGACCTAAACCAAACTTCTTGTGTACCAGGCTGTTGTCATCCCTACCTTGTGTATGGGTATGATACTTGGATGACCTATCAGAAACACCTACAAGCTTTGGAACATTACCATCAGTAATGTCTTTGGGAAATCTTCCATAATAACTGGAAGGACAGGAGAATGAATGCCAGCGTTCTGGCTCATGCAAACAACACCAGCATTGAAGCTGTGTTTGTATGGCAGCATCTCCACTGGACAGGACATATCATAAGGAAGCCTAACAATATGCTTCTGAAATGGGCCCTATACTCCCAACTCACAGATGGTCATTGCTCAAGAGGCAGGTAAAAGAAGAGATTCAAGGACACCTTGAAAGACAATCTAAAGAAATGTGATATCAACCTGGGAGACTCGAGCACTGAATTGTTCCTGGTGGCACCATGATATATGACAAAGTATCAGTCATTTTGGTTAGACCCTCTTTGCTATGCAGGCAGATAAATGAAAGCATCTCAAAGGAAAAGAGCTGCTACCTGACATCACCAGGATAGTTTGGGAAAGAAGGATCATATCTGCCACGTCTGCAGTTGAATATGCAGCTCTTGGCTCCACCTCCTCAGTCGTCTACAGACTCACTGATCAAACTTCCCTATTTACTGGAAAACTGTCACTCTTGTGTCAAATGACTGCTGCTGATGAACTAGTCCCATTTAGGACCTAACAATGAATATGTTCTCTGCTTACTTTAAAGTAAGTGTAACTGGAACGTAACTGTTTATACTTCATAAAACACTGTTCCTTTTGGTTATTGGTTAGTTTTCAAACTTCTGGCTTAAGTTCCTGTTCTTAGCAGCCTGTTTGTTAACCACATACAGGAACAACTGGACAACAGATATCTCTCTTTATTTTTCAGGAAATGCACTCATCAAATGTGGGGAAACACAAAAGCGAATTGGAACAGCAGACAGAGAACTAATTCAAACATCTGCTATAAACTTTCTCACTCCACTAAGAAATTTTACTGACGGGGACTACAAAACAATTGCTGTAAGTTGGGAAATGTACTTCCTTTTATATATCTCAATATTTTTCAATATAAATACTTAAGTGGAAGTGGGGATAGTCAAATTTCTGCTTTGGGCACTTCTTGAAGCTTTTAAAAACATGACTATTTTTTAAAGCAGACTTAAAAAAGCTAGCAAAACAGTGTTTTATAAAAGCACATATGTTGTAAACACTTGCCACATTCACTAAGTTTAAAAGTTCAGTTTTATATGGCATGTTAGGAATACAGTCTCAAGTAAGTGGATGAGCAATGTTTAGGTATTGCAGACCCATAATTACCCTGATTATGTAACCTAACTGATTTTCCTAAACTTATAGAAAGAAAGAAAGCTACTGCAAAACAAGAGACTAGATTTGGATGCAGCGAAAACCAGACTGAAGAAGGCAAAGGTTGCAGAAGCTAGAGCTGTAGTAAGTAGACTACTGTTAATATTTTTTTTAAAAGTACACACAGGCTTGCCTTAACTCTCCAAAAATAGACCTTTCTGATCCTGTATAAACTGATTGGGCACGTCTACACAAGATGTTTACTACGTAATAGACTAATTAGCTGTGCAGTAAATATCTTGGCATGTACACGTGCCCCTGTTAGGCTGGGGTAAACTAATTTATTCTGCAGCAAGATATTACTTGTAAATACAAAGTACAGCCTGGCAGGCTGAGCCCCCAGGCTCGCTCCTGGGCACATGCTCAAACAGTAATAAACTCCAGAGTTTATTGCTTCGTATTAATTGCATGTGTAGATACACCCAGTATGTAGTTTTGTTTTGTTTTGGTTTCCACTTGGCCAGAAATGCCGAAGTGGCACGTGATAGAGGAAAATGGAACACTGCTAACTGATGTTTAAATTTATTCCCTAATTTTTTTTCACAATGCAATTTGGCAAACATTTATGTAGCATCTCTTCTATCTTAAATAAGCATTTTATTGTAACACCTTTTGAATACAAAGAATTGTGAATGAACTTCTTCACATAGTAATATTAAGTGTGGTGGTGGTGGTGGTATTGGAGTTCTAAACATCAAGAATAGCTTGTATTGTGGTTGCTTTTTGTGGGAGTATAAACAGATCAGTTGCAAGTGGGAGTACACTGTTAGTAGATAAAACTGTGATGCATGTTCAACTACCTGCAGTGCCACATTTCCATATTGTCTTGTTCTTTGCTGTGTTTTGTTAGAATCCTGCATAACTTCAGGAAAAGTTTTTGTACCTTCTTTTTTGAAAATATGAACAGCTTGCTACTTTAAGTCTGGCAGTATATTCTTCACCCTACATAGCTCAAGGACTGGCCACTCTTAGAACAGTTGCTCTGAAAACTTTAGTGTAGTTAAGGGCATATTATTACTTTGAGTTATACTGGGATTACACTTACTAGTTTTCTCCCCATCAGAAAAAAATAGTCATTAGCTGACTTCATGTAGGGGATCGAGCTACTTTACAAGCACTCTTACAAAAAACTACTTTAAACATTTCTCTGCCAAGCTGTGTTTAATGCTGGTAGATCATGCCACTTAACATCTTAACTGTGTTATCATTTCTACTTTTACTTCAATTCTAACCCTGTGTCTAGCAGCTGTATCAAACCAGTAAATATTAGTGCTCAAAATGAAGAAAGGGTTTGGGTTTTAAGCTGAGACCAGAGGTTCTCAACCTCATCAGATTCAAGGCACCCCTCAAAAATGCCAGCTCTTTGTTTTCAGTGGGTTTTTTGACTATGGAAAAATAAAAGAGAAATTCTTAGATTGCAAAGAACTTGGAAAGACCACACTGAGTTAAAATGTTTTTGATGCTCTGGATTCTTATTTGAAATTCCTGGGTTTTTCTTATGAACCATGTAGGTGTTTGCATATCTAGCAATGTTAGAATTGTGCACCCCAGGATGCTACTGTATAACCCTGGGTGAGACTCACTGGGATAGACACAAGGGGCACGTCCACACATGCAGGCACGTGCGCTTGCAGCAATTCAAATAGGAGCGGCACAAAATTGAGCTGGGAATTTTTGCCTCAGTGCACATGCCTGGACGTGCATTTTGGTATGGAGCAAGTTGTGCCACTTGGGGCAAAATGACCCTGCCCAGCTCCTCCCAGATCTGCAGCCAGGGGGAGCTAGAGCCTGGGGCCAGCACCTGTGCTGTCCCCAGCAGTAGAAAAACCTGCCCTGGTGAGCAGCTCAGGGCTACTTACCCTTAGGAACTTCTGAGGCCCGGCCAGTTGGTGTCTGGGGATACTAGCCCTTGTGCCAGCTGGACTAGTAAAACAGCCCTGACCTAGAGTAGCTCCTGCCCCCTCTACCCACTGCAGCAGTCTAGCAGTGGAGGTTGCTGCCTGTCTGTGACACCTGCAACAGCATCCACCCCCTTTGACCTGCGGCCCTCTGGCTGTACGCCTGCCAGACCTGGATGGGATACCCCCTTTCTGCCATCTGGGCAGCTATTGCCCAGAAGATGTGCTCCTTCCAGTGGCCTGCTCTGAAGAGTCAAAGTGTGTCCTCTTGGCCCCAAATGGCTAACAGGTCAGCCACCTCGTGTGCCCTCCAACTAGGTCTCCAGTGCTGGCCCTGGCCAGGCTCCTCTGCCTGGGTCTTGCTACTTGTCTAACCAGCAGAGATCCTGGTGTTCCCCGTTTAAAAATTGCAAATTCTCTGATAAGAAATCCGAATTCTCTCATTAAAATACCCAAAACAGTGTTCTTCCACTATTAAAATGAAACGCCACTATATATAGAGAAATCAGTCGGGCAAAGTTTTATTGTGATGAGATGTATGGGGGTGCTACTCAGGAGGGGTGGGTTCCCTGGCCCCCACA